GTGCTACTGGATAAGTAGACAGTTGAGTGGTGAATAATGATAAGTATTTTCGTGCACGGTGATCGTGGGTGACCCGGGGACGCGTTGCTACACTGACAGTTCCACCTACTAATTTCCATGCAAAACGCGTCCCGCCTGATCACGTGCTTTTCACTTACTTCATTAATCTTACTACTCATGGCTTCACGAACTTCTTTACAGTCTTAAGATACTAATAAGTTTGACCCCCCTATATATTAACACTACTACTATAATACTACTACAGGAATCACAGGATAATGAAGAATCTATTACTACAACCTTCTCAGCAGCAAGTTTTCTAGCTGTCTATCTAGATAGCTAAATAGACCATTTGGTAGGCAATACAGGGCTGGGGTGGCGTTGTCTGGTTGGCTGATCTGTCATTGTTACTCAAAAAGCTAAAAGTAGAGTGAAGTAATTGATCATATGATCATTGATCAATAATCACTATTGATTACTACGGCGAGCAAGTATTGGCTGGATGAATTCGCAAAGCCTATAAAGCCGGGCTTTTAGCTTTTCGACCTTCATGACAGGCTAGCACTTTCCCTAAACATTCATGTTCAATTTTCTCACTTTTCGCTTCAATAACAAGGGAGTTATCATGACAGACTATCGCCATCCTGACCCTCGCTCCAAAGCATGCACACCAATTTCAGAAAGTTGAAAAAACACATCTATCCACGCATCATGGCTTCTGACGGTGTCAATTTGAAACCGAACAAAATGGCTCTTGTGACTGCAGTCGGGGCCTTTACATTTTGGCAGCTGAAAATCGTTTGAGTGACGACTGCCTGAATTGTCATCATCCCCTATCAAAGCACGCGGATGGAGAAACTGATAAAATTATGCCACGTCCTCTCAAGTCACGCAAAGGTTTGATCTTATTTTGACTATTATCCTTTCTTAGCTAACAATGTCGGGGTAAATAGTCACAGATGATCTCTCAATATGTCCTCGCGAGGGGACAGTTCAGCAACTCGCTGATCTTATCCTGTCTAGAAAGGTTGTTCATGTCCGTGGCACACCGGCGAGTGGCAAGACAACCCTAGCACAGTTACTCAAAGATCACCTTTCGGGTCAAGGACGGAATGTGTATTTCATGGGGACATGGCGCGATCTTGATACACTCTACGAAGCCCTCCGGATCCATGGGACAAACTGGAGACCATGCTTCGAAGTAAATTCCCTTGTCCGGTGGACAAAGATATCCTTTCCCAGGCTGTCCTCATCATTGATGAGGGTCAGACATCCTACAATGATTCCATTTTGTGGAATGAAATCCTCAAACCTCGATGCTATGGTAAAGGGGAGGAAATCATGTTCTGTCTTTTCTGCTCTTATGGGAGTCCTTCCACCGGGGTGGAGACCACCACTTGTGAATTTACACCTGCTATCCTCAACCCGCGCAACGGGTAACATTGACCCCCAGACGAACGCCGCAGCGCCTGATTTTGGTCTGTTTTTCTCGAAGACGGAATTCTACGATGCCACATCTAGAATTGGCTCCAAAAAAGAACGCCAATCAAACTTCAAACAGATGCCATCGAGTATCTTTTCTCTTTCACGAATGGGCACCCCGGTGCATTAGAGTCTATGATGGAATATTTCTTTCACGTAAGTTATTCAGGTCCTGGATTTTAAAGCAAATCCATTCTTTCTAGACCAGCTGGTTCAACTAACTTTTACTTAGATTTTACCGCTCTAATGTCAAGCATCGACAAATAAATGCAATAACCAAGTCGCATCTTATCGATGCTTGAAATCAGAGGACAATGTTTTCAGACATCTTGCGTACACCCCTGTTTACCGCTCATTCCCCAGGGCGTCGAGTTAACACGGGAATGTGCCGACGTTCTTCTGACCATCTTGGAAAATGGCGACTTGCCGTGGAATTCGAACTCAGCAACACTGCAATGTTACACAAAGGGTTGGATCCATAAGGTAGCTACCGGTAATCTGAGGGTTCCAGAAATTTACGTTTTGCCATCCAGGTTACATGAGAAGCAAGTCATCTTTTGATTTCCCCGTCCATCTCCATCTTTGACTCATTCTAATCAAAGTTAGATGGGTGGAATTTTTGATCGGCTTTGATCCGCAACCCTTGCCTGAGCGGTTCGATACGGTATATGGGTTGTGTCTCGATGTCTTACGTCGATTTTCGACAATCGCTCTCAGGTGTTCTTCAGAGGCAGAAAATTATCAACTGGGGCAACATACAGACCAATAGAATCCCAGTACCAGGATGAATTTTACCGGGTTTTCACTGAACTAGTTGGTCGACGTGTGCCAATGTCCTCTGAATGGTCTAGAAATCGCGACGGCAGGGTAGATTTCTTGATACAAGAGAAGAAATGGGCGATCGAACTTTTTAAGAGAACACAGCAAGATTAATGAACACATCACACGGTTCAGGCAGGGAGGAAATTACTATTCCTGGATACAAGAAGGTATGATTTGTGACTGGATCATCATTAATTGCGCGACAACTCTACCTACTCAAGGTAAGGCATTGCTCTTTGTATATGACGTTTTCTGTCGCTGACAAGGTAGTAGTTAGCACGGAAACCAAGCTTGTCCATGCTATATTCCAGAATGATTTTACTGAGTTGCACCTTTACGATAACCTCTTAGGGCTAGTGGGACTTGGTTCTTAGTGAATTAAGTGGATCATTGTGTATTATGGCAGGTCTGGAATATGTATTAATACTGTGGCGGCAGATCGGGAGGGTGGTGAAGAGGGACGGTCAATTGGCCCCACGGGTGGCAGACCCTTGCTCCCCTTACCACTAACTATCTCTACCATTTGTTTTTAGTTAAGTCAGAATTATCACTATCCCTACTTTCGGGCGGTTTTATCATCAGAGTTATCAATTTTATTATTTCTATTATTTCTACTAGCCTATCTTATTCCTTGCATCCACTTTACCCTTCTAGAAAGCTTCACAATACTCACCAAGATTTACAATGCCTTCCCGTAGACTAGAAGACTGAGAAGAACTACATAGGCCGACCAAGACATGAAATTCGATGCCTAAGGCACATCGACAGAGCTTGTAAATCAAAGCCGAATCCCCCAACTTGAAAAATTAAGCATAAAGGAAGTTGAAGTACAACGTATCGAAAAGGTATTCCATAGAGTTCTCTTCAATAATCACTACAGTGTAGATATTTCTCTATGTTCATGAATCAACAGCGATACTTTTCTCCAAGTATAAATACTATTGTTGAAATATGCACAAGATTTGACGAGACGACTGTTAAGCATTTTCGAGTATGGACTATGCCTGACAATAGATAGATAAACTCCCTTGAATACCTGAGGTCCCTTATGGTACTTACTGCCTAGGTAGTACTGCCTCTTAGTGCTGACACTCGAAGACTTCCATAATCGTACTACTTTGCCGTTCTTGGCGTATAACTACCTGATTGCGGCAACTGCCTGCCTAGTAGGCAGTTGTGTCAAGTCTGATGAGTAATCGATGTGCCAAAGAGGGTCTTATCAGCGGCAAACCTTTCACTCGGTCGAACTAGGTGGATGGTGCTGGCCCTGCCCCGCGACAGTATCTTGGTACAATGTAGGTAAGCACCGTACTACCTTACGTAGTATATGTTCCTTAGGTTTCACCCCACCCGACATGCTTCTTCAATTATTGTCTAATCACGAAGTTAAATCTTGCTTTAATTAGAGCATTGCCATTCCCAGCATTGCCGACATTACAAAGCTGCCAGCCGTAACCAAAAGTATCATCGGACAGATATACCCAGTTCGCGCGACTGTTGTCTATGTTATATGAGCTAAATACTACTACTACTTTGGCAAAATTCTTCAGCAAATACAGAACGTGCTGCCTCATTGAAGATGGCTTGCTTGCATGTTAATTCTGATGGTAGGTAGTCCATTCTCTCGAGTAGTACGACGTCGATCTGATCATCTCTGTGCAGATTTAAAGCAGCCATCCTGCATCCCAAGCAGTCTACAGGGAAGATTGCACCCAGTGCTTCGATTCTATTGTATGGGCACCCCGGCTGAACAGAAGCTGTCATACCTAACTAAATCTAGGACGATGATTCCGGGCTCAACGTTTGTTTAACTTGCTTCAATGGTGGCTGTACGGGAGACAGGGACCATGCCCTTCTTCATTTTCAACGCTTTGGCCATCCTTTGGCTCTCAACATCAAGAGGTCTCGGAAACCAAGTCCGAGTACGTCTGAAAAGTCAATACCATCTCATGTTCCCAGTGACTGACCAGCTCTTAATTCTAGAGGGATGAACCCCCACAAAAAATATCAAAACTGCAATAGTTGCAGAAACAGAAGATGATCACTATGACACAAACACGCGCGTTGTGTGTTACAAATGTTGTCAGGATAATGTTGATGTTTCTAGTGCAAACTTCCGGCTGTGGTTGACGGTGTCCTGAATGCAATCACATACTCGAGGAAACGAGGAGGTCAAGGCTTGGGAGCAAGAATTTGTCCCGTGTGAGCACACACTGTGCTTAGGTCAGGAAAGAAGCTCGCGAAATTAGGTCAAAAGGTACGACCCCAGGTTCTTTTAATATTTAACCAGTGTCTCACAGAAATATCTAGACCTCAATGGTTGCTCGTTATGTGATCTCAAGGAGAACCTGTGCTTTGTTTAGAGTGTGGCAATCTGGCTGCGGCGCAGTCAGTTTGGTGGTGTGGGAGGAAATTCCACGCACTTACCCATTCCGAATTAACTTCGCACGCAGTTGCTGTCAAGCTTGGCTCCATAACCGCAGATGGCACCGCTGATGTCTTCTGCTATAAAATGCAATGAAGAGAGAGTCGACCCTAACCTCGCCGACCATCTTGCTCATTGGGGCATAAATCTGGCAGGCCGCGAGAAAACAGAAAAAAGCCTGACGGAAATGCAAATTGAACAAAATATGAAATGGCAGTTTACAATGACGTCTGAAGATGGGCAAGAGCTCACCCCGATTTTTGGCCCTGGTTTGACAGGTCTCAGGAACCTGGGAAACAGCTGTTACCTTTCAAGCGTGATTCAATGTCTATTTGATCTTCCCCAATTCCAGAACAGGTATTACCATCCCACCCAGGAGCCGCCTTTTTCTGAACATCCGGCGGAAGATCTGGAGAGTCCAGTTGCGAAAACTCGCAGATGGCATCCTTTCCGGTCGTTATTCCCGACCCGATCCAGACGCCATCGTTGCTGCGGACTCTCCAGAGACTCCCAATCAAAAAGGCTTGGTTCCATCGATGTTCAAGCACCTCGTTGGTCGTGGGCATGAAGAGTTTTCCACAATGAGGCAGCAAGACGCATTTGAATTTCTCCTGCACCTCTTTAAGCTGGTAAACCATGGCAGGTTCTTGAAGGACTGGATAACCCTGTTGAATCCTTCAGTTTCGCCGTCGAACAACGACTCCAGTGCTTGAATTGCAGCAAAGTTCGATATAGAGTTGATGAACAGGACAACCTTTCCATCCCTGTTCCTGTGCGCCGCTTCTCTACAGAAAGTGATCACGAAACAAGCGATCAGTTCCAGACTGTGACATTCAATGAATGTTTAGATGCCTCCACTGCCGATGAAGTGGTTGAACTCAGCTGTCCCTCATGCTCTAGCAAGTCGGGATTCTCCAAGCGTTCTCATTCAAAACACTGCCTCAGAATTTGGTTGTCAATGCGAGGCGCTTGAATTGATCAACTGGGTGCCTAAACGAAGTTAGATATTCCTGTGGAAGTTGAGACGATCCGTTTAGATCTAGGTGGTTATCTTTCCTCCGGCAGAAGGAAGACAAGAGTTACCCAGATGTGGAGAACACTGAATCGATTTTTGCTCCTGATGAGGAAGTCCTATGTCAGCTTCTCACCATGGGATTTCCGCAACCAAGATGTGTGAAGGCACTTCAAGCAACTGGAAATTCGGATGTCGAAGCTGCAATGAATTGGATTTTGCTCATATGGACGACGCTGACATTGATGATCCACCTGCGACCCAAGGTGAAAGAGCCGCAGCAAGACTCAGCAAAGGTCTTGCAACTGGGTGAAATGGGCATCAATGAGCAACATGCTAAGAAAGCGTTAGCTTGCTACAAGCGGTGATATCAATAGAGCTATTGACTGGGTGTTCAGCCATCCGGAAGAAATGACTGAGGTCGTTCTGCGAATCATGAATCCGATACGCATCACCCAGCAGTCACAGGCCCCTCAAAGGCTTTTCTACTACTCCGGCAAGATATCAACTCCGGTCAATTATTTGTCACAAAGGCTCTTCGGTGCACGCCGGGTATGCGTTCCTCATATGTGTCTTTAACCCGTAAACGTTCGGCTAACGTAAAGCAGCATTACGTTGCTTTTGTGCGCAAAACCCCTCCCAGGGCAGATCAGCCTACTTGGGTTATGTTCAATGACGAGAAAGTCGTGCGGTCGAGGACATACAGGAGATGAGAAATTCGCTTATTTATACTGTCCTTGTAAGGGTGGATAAGGGAATACAAATTATCCTCGGATGCATACGTCCCTGATACACGACACCCAATTATTTTCGTGGAGTCCCTCATAGTTTCAAATATGTAAACGTGACCACTTGCAGGTCAATAGGTATTAGTAGTGGTAATTCTTATTATCCTGTCCTAGCTTGCCTATTCTAGTAAAAACAAGAATATCCACCAAACCATTATATTTTATTATCGTAGAGAATGAATTTATAACTGGTAGTATAAATATAGTGCTAGCAGTTCTCTTTGTTATCCTGTCTAGACCTTAAAGATCTGTTGGAATAATCCCTCATTATCCATGGAAAAGGATTAAAACTGTTTATTTATGATGTTATTTTGTTTGTCTCAGAATATTCTATATATTTCTACTTACTTTTATAATAGTAGAGAAGTGAAGATTCTAAGAATAATAAATTATTATAAATATAGATAATGCAGTTTATTTTTATTTCTTATTTTGATTATTATTCTTTTATTTATCTAATTTGATGATTTATATACATATTTAATATATCTTATTCTTCTTTATTACTTAATCTTTTAATTAAATATTGTTACCAGTAGTAATACTAGGATATATAATAAAAGTTTATATAATTTATTTAAGAATTTATTATATAAATAAGATAATAAAAGTAATAATTATTATATTATTACAGAAACCTAACAGGGTTAATATCTCATGAAGGTGGCATAGCCAGGCAGAAGCCCAACACTAATTAGTTAATAAAGAATCAGGATTCTTGTATAAAAAGAAATAGAAAAATTATATAATTTAATTATTTACTTCTATATAAATTATAAAATAATTATATAACCTAGTTACTTACTTCTAATCTATTTTAAGAAATAGTTATAAAATAATTATACTAAGATCTTATATTACTAGTTCTTATTCTTATAATTAATTAAATTATAAATATAGATAAATAAATATTCTTTATATATTCTTATATATATACTTTATATATACTCTAGAAGTATTTATATTTAATATATAATTCAAGTTTGAGTATATATTTAGTCTAGTTTTTATTTATTTATACTTAACTTAAGTATTAAGTATATATACTTAGTATATCTTATTTTTTTCTTGCTTAT